TGAATATTAATATTTGAATAGCTAGGAATAGTTCTATAATAAGACGGAATGCATACCGGTATTTTGACTTATGACTTCTTAAAAAATGTATGTTGGATTAAAATATGGCGGTACTGAAAGAAGCTGGATATACTCTGTGACTTACATGATAAATTTCACATCAAAACTAAAATACAATTTAAAAATGTTTGAAGAATACGTTACTGGGCATGTAGTACTAATTATTCGTTAAAAGTACTCAATTCGCCATAGGATTTTTTTTTCCCATGTTATGTTAGTTCCTGTTGCATCAACATACAAAAATCAAGTATGAGGTTTTACATGCGTAAGGCATTTTTATAAATACTGACAGTATAACATTACAGAAGATGTCCAGAAACACGTTTCTTATGCTCGTATGTCAAGCTTTTCAGTATGGGCACCTTCAGTCTCTGCAACTCTGTGTTAGCGAAAGGCGGAAACTGAACTGTTGACAATTACCAATAATGCCCAGATTCTTTTCTACAATTCTTCACCTGTGTGAGAGCTGTTGCGACAGAGCGAACTTTCAATTGCACAGTTAAGGTCGGGAGATTGCGGTGGTCAAGACCGATCAGGACCAGTCACACTGCAACCGTTAGAACGCAGGTCTGCGCATGTGCTGACATGTTTGTAAAGCGTGTTACGCAGAGGGGCATGTATTGCGTTGTTGGAAACGTGTTTGGGCCGTGTCACATGAAATTTTCAGTGACTGGGATTACATACTTACGGTGCAGCTACAGGTGGTTGGGTAGACCCCGTTGCGGTAACATTTCGAAGCACTGGACCAACAATGCGTGCAGGCAGAACACACAGGCTGAAGGTTCCGACATTAAAACATTTTTCCTTTTGGCCGCGCCATAGCTCAAGCGGTTAGTCGTTGGCTTCCCACCGCCGCAGCCCGGGTTCGATCCCGAGTCTGGTCCATGGGTTTTGTGGTGGACAAAGTGGCTCTGGGGCAGGCTTTCTCCGAGTACTTCGGTTTCCCCTGCCAATCTTCGTTTCACCAGTTGCTCCACAATCACCCTCACCTATCATCTGGGGCTCGTACAATAGGCCAGAAGTGGCCGCAGTACAAGGGACTTAGTCCCACCCCACTAGCAATAAAATAACATTTCTTCCTAAGAATATCCGTAGATACCTGTGTTTTTTTTTTTTTAGATTTCCCGTAATTTATTAGTATGAATATTTATGGAAACTTCATGCTATTACCATTCCGTTTGTAGTTGAAGACCCTGTATTTTGCGTTTATTGTTGGTTTTATGGTTTTATTACTGTACAGTTGAGCTGCAGGTAGAAGACCTTTGAAAGCAGTTTTCGTGCTTTGAGTAAAGTGCGGTCCGAACAGTAAAGTGTCAGATTCAATGCGGCCCATGAATGCATCAAGCCATGGTAGCTGTAGCTAACGTTTTCAAGATATGAACAATTCAGACAATGGTAAATGAGAACGTTTAGAGAGTGACGCTTGCCATTTCAGCTGGATTATTTAGTTTCGCGCTTCATGAGTTTGGAGTTTAAAGCCTGAGCTAAAGTGATTTCATTATTCGAACGTGCATTCATATACAAGATTCAGACGTTCCTCCTGTTAATTCGGGCCGATCCATAACACTTAAGTTCGCTTCAGGCTGAGGTGTTTACAAAACTCAATATATTTACGATGATATTTGTATATTATATTCGTAGATAGATTGAACGACCTGGATACTGAAAGTAAGTGAAATCAACAAATTTCTGTTTTTTGAGAGAAAATTCTAAGAAAAAATTTACCCAAGTGAAGAAAATGATAGGTAGCGAATTAAAACAAATCAATAATTAAATCAGTTAATCAGCTATACAAATATAATCAATTTATGTGTGCAGAAAGACTCTCATGGCTTGGCCACGTAGAGCGAATGCCAGGCAACAGATCAGTTAGAAACCTGTGCTCATGGAAGCCACTAAGTACAAGCTCAGTGTGTAGACCGAAAGACGATGGAGGTGCTACAGTTCTCCGTGGACGCTATAACCCTCTTTAATCATTTTGGAAGGGCGACTGGTTTATTGGCGAGATCGATTTATTAGCATGTTACGACTTGTTTTTTGTATCTGGACAGTAAACAACTGCCTTATTTTTGTTTACATGCAGTTGGGATGACTGGAAGGGGACAAATTCACAAATGGAAGCAAGTCTGTAGTTTTCCAAAGATATGAATTTTGTTTTAACATGTGTTTCTTCCATGAAGTGTCTTCGGACGGGTGTAGCTGGACTTTAAACTAAAGTCAGTAACCTCTCACACATGTGAGGTTCTGAGTTCTATATCTTGGGAGCTGTTTTATTCTCAAGGGTCTGTATGCGATTGGCTTGCGCTGATTGCATGATGAATTTAGCTAGTTAAAATCAGCCAGTGGAAATGAATTCTTGTCTGGGAGAGAGACCGTCGATTCAAATCCTTCTTGGGGATGGAGCGACGCTCCAGCAGGATACCAGTCTTCAAAAAGCTTGGCGTTTTGAATTGATCGGAGGCAGACGTCATTGGTCTGCGCTCCTATGTTTCTCTAAATTCATCAGTCCATCACTTTGAATCGTTAAAATTTCATAACAGAGAAGGTCATATTACTACGTGCTTGCAAATGAAGTTATAATATTTTGCTTCGGAATAAATAGTTTGTGGACAGTGGCAGTTGTGTCGTTGATTTCGAGGAGTGGACTGGCTTCAAGTGTACAGTGTCCGGTTGCCTCAGTTATTACCGTGACACGATCCTGATAGGAGTCAAGTGGTTCTCTGAAGAAAGTACAAAGAAAGAAGAAAGGGGCGGTTACGGAGGAAGATGTTAAAGCTGACATTAAGAAGATGAAGGCACCAAATTGGAAGATAACAGTTCAGGACAGGACCAAGTGGAAAGGTGTGATTGAGAAGACCAAAACTCTACGTGAGTTGTAGCGTCAAAATAGAAGAGGAGGAAGAGGAAGAAGAAGAAGAAGAAGAAGAAAGGGAAGGGAGATAATTTGAGCGATAATGTATCAGTTGCAAAATTATGTAACGTCAAATGACAGATTGATTGCATGTGGCGAAGTAGAAACGATGGGGTAACTAGAGGCGCTTGGAGCATTCTTTAAAGACAGGGTATAGCGGCCCTAAGTCTGTTTAACTGACAGTGATGTACATATATTAAACAGACCCTTGTGATCCTCTTACTTCATGAATAATTTAGCCCACTTTCCTTATTTGAAAATATTAAAGTAAACGTGTACTGTCACCTGGGAGCCGGGATAGCGCAGTCGGTATAGCGACTGACTACGGGCTGGACGACCGAGAGTTAAAGAGTTCGAGTCCCGGTAGGAGCAAGAAGTTTCTCTCCTCCATATCGTCTAGACGGGTTCTGGGGACCATATAGCCTCTTATCAAGTGGGGGTAACGGAGACTTGTTCAACGGGGTAAAGCGGCCGGAGCGTGAAGCTTACCACTCACCTCCAACTACGCCGAGTTCAAGAAAACTTAGATCTATACATCCACTTCCCAATACGCCTTCATGGCGTAGTGCTTAATTAGTTAAGCACAGGGACAGCTTTATGATGTCACTTTGCTGTCTGCGAATCTGTACATGTATCCCGAATAACAAATTTTGAAGGCCTAAAACGATCTTTATGAAACTTAAAATGTATATCATGCCACCTGAGGTAATCTGAACGGTATATTCATAAATCATCCCCCTCAGGAATACAAACACTGCAGCCCCTCAAATTGTTCAAGTAATATCCTTAATATTACTTGATGATCAGATCCGATAGTCATGAAATTTAGTATCTGAGGCCATCTGAGCGCTGTGCTTCATAAATCCAGACCATCAGTAATAACAGCGTCTCAGATTGTATTGTTTTGACATACTGAATATGCCGAAATATTTTCTACTTGTCATATCAGCCACCCAGATTGTAGTGAAAAGAAAGTAGGTGATTAGTTCTTCTCAGAACTTCTTGTTTAAATCCTCAATTACAAGCCCACACAGAGCTCTCTAAGCACTAATGTTCTCTACTTTAATAACAGTTCAACCCTGATTTTGTTTGTGAGTACCCCTAACAGTCTGATAGAGACATACAGTTCTTATTAAATAGTTTCATTCGGTTAAGAAATGGGCCTCTTAAGGTGAGTTTTCTTTATGTTGGTGTCACTTTCGAAACTCGAATCGGGTAGACCTAAATTATCGAGGGATTCCAACTCACTCATTAATTTATGTAATAACGGATCTGCCACAAACGGACCTTGCTACTAAAACAGAATTTAAACATAAATCGTTCTAGTCAGTTTATACACACAGCTGTTGCTCATGGGAATCCAAAATCGTTTTTGCATGATTCAAGTGTACCTTAAACTTAATGCTTTATTGTGTTGTGAACAAAACAAATGCTGCACACTGTAGCGGATTGTCGTAGGGACCCAGAATAGTTAAAAAGAAAAGGTCAATTAGGAACTAAACGGTGGGTCAAAATGCGAGGAAGCGTCAATAAATAGGTTACAAATGGACATAGAACGTAAAGCATATGATATTCGAACCGGGAAAAACATTTATTTCTCGACATATCTTCCACCAAAATTGATACACTTGTCCCATCGCTTTACCAATGCGTCGAAACCCTCAAAATAGAGACTGTTGTCTCAGCCATGTCTCAGCCACTTCCTCACCTTCGTTTCAACCTGTTCATCATCTACGAAACTCTTGCCACTAAGGTTTTCTTTTAGTGAACGAAACATGTGGAAGTCAATTGAGGCCAAGTTCGGTCTGTAAGGGGGCTGTTTAAGAGTTCGCACTGCAGTTCTTGAATTCTCTCTTGGGTTGCTTGGGCTGCATGGGGTCTGGAATTCTCATGATGAAGCAGCGCCCCTCTTACCGACTGGTCTGGAAGTTTTCTGCGAATTGCATCCCTAAGCTTCAATAGAACTTCATAGTACGATGCAGAATTCACATTTTCACCACACTTCTGAAAATGGGATAACAGTACTCCCTTAGAATCCCAAACGCGGTAAGCATAACCTTCCCAGATAATTGCGTAACCTTGAACTTTTGGTTGAAAGTGAACTCGGATGTTTCCATTGCACTGAAGCGCGCTTTGATTCGGGTTGGTAGTGATGCACCCATGGTTCTTCCTCAGTATCAGTCATGTTAAGCAGACTCGTATCATCTTCATCTGCATACCGTAAGAGACGTTGCAAGGACAGGCCCATTTGGTTTATTTTTCCTCGATCCTTCAGTTCTCTGGGCACTGACCCTGCGCACAGTTCCCGGAACTTCAAACGATCACGCATTATGCTGTATGCTAAACCATGCGAGCACTCTAGTGCAGTTGCTACACTGGCTGTCGTTGTCCTCCTGTCGGCTCGAATCAAGTCTTCCATCCGCTGCACAGTTCCTTCTGTCGCAGTCTCAACAGAGCGACCTGGTCGGGCATTATCTGCGACTTTCTAAAGTTCTTGAGAGGATTTCTCAATCCAGTTGTGAGCCGCTGTACGCGACAAACACTGCCCACCGTAAACAGAAAACATCTTTTCACGAGAGAAACAGAAATACGCTCTTCGGTAGTATACACCTCAAGCACGGTCGTCATATTTGCTACCAAAACCAGCCCCTGAACATGCACATGTGCGTCTACTATCAAGATTATCATGAAGCTGGGCTGCACTGCTTCCTAGTGATACGCATAGAAAACCTATTACGTCTATTAGAGCGGTTTTACTTCCACTTCTAATCTATTTACTGACTCTCCCTCGCGCACGCTCTTAATAATGCAGGAACACTGGAACTGCAGTTTATGGTTCCTCTCTAGACTTAAATGTATGTTGTGTGCTGTATGTGTGGAGACCTCGCTATGGTCCGAACCCCGTAAAAGGGATCATACAGATTGTCTCTGAGTTTGAATGTCAGTCCCGAAATAGCTAACTAAATTCATATAAGAGGAATGTATGAAGATAGTAGAGAACACATAGATAGAAGGATTGAAAGATAGATAACTGAAGTGAAATAAATAAGGGCGAAAGAAAGAAGGAATGAAAGAGCTAGAGACCAAGAAGAAAACTTGCGGGCTAGTATGAACAAAGGAAAGCAGTTTCAGTCAGGGATTGAAACTGGCATGAAGCTATAAATAGGAGGGAAGAAGGTTGTGTAAATTGGGTTCTATTTCATGTCGTTGATTGGTGAAAGTATTTATCATCCTCGCGAGCAGGATATAGTAAGTAGGACCCAATTTTAGAAGCATTCCCACGGCTGGGTTCTATCTGTGTGGCCAACCTGACAAGACCGGCCACTCTCCTAAACAGTTTGTCCTGTTACGAAACAAAGACAAGTGATCTGTTGAATGTTTAGGTCATAAATAGACCCATGCTACATGCCGTTTGGAAGTGTCTCTCAACTGTCAGAGCCAGCTGCTCCCAGCCAGCAAGAATTTACAGTACCTACACGTAACTTTCATCTCTCTTCATCACTGAGGGTGGCAGAAGGCGATGTATGAGCACGCGTTCCACGGCTTTACAGCTGAAAATATCGAAGTCATCATTCTCTTCAATGGCTTTTCCATCCTTTTCAGGACCCAGGCCTCTTATTCGGTTCCGTAATAATTTTCAAAGACGGTGGGACTCCTTGGAAGGGTGATCAGCCCGTCCCTAGGCCTCTACTTAAACACAGGACAAGCGGCCTCCGTAGTCTAGAGGTAACGTTCCCACTTCATGACTCGTAGTACGCGGGTTCAAATACCCGGCGGAGGTCGTCGAATTTTTAAGGGCGGAAAAATTCAGGGAACAAGTCCTCCGGGAGGGACTTTAAGCCGTGGGTCCCGTGTCGTTGCTTTACGGCACGTAAAAGAACCTCATATCTCCAAAGGAGGTCACTGAGCCAAATTAACGGACGTTTCCCGCCCAACAGCAGTCTCTAATACCTCTGGTAGATGGGGGAAGCATTATAGATACCTCTCAGCTAGTAGAGCCGGTCTCGCTGGCTGGGCGGGACTGATGGTAAGCACCAGTACCGGTAGGATATAGAGACTGGTATAAATCATAGAGGGAAGCACAATGGACCAATACAGGTCTCAGTGCATGGGAAAACCCACCCTCTCACAATAACTAACTAACTAAACACAGGACAACACAAACAGAATAAAAGCAGCTGTTTCTGTCTTCAGATGAAAGGATGATTGCTAATATTATGTAAATAAAAAATGAAAGGATTAGGAGCGCCTATTCCGTTCCGTTAGAAGCAGCCAAAGTCAATCTCTGGACAGGAATTTTAGTAATCGCATGTGTTATACACTATCGTCAGAAACTTGAGGAATCTACTGCAATAATCCAAACCAAATAAAAATATTGGAGACTCACAAAATATTGACATAAACCAAAATTAACTTTGTATAGAACAACCCTCAGTGCCTAATACATGCAAGGATAGAGACATTCAGCCAAAACCGCATGCGAGGAACGTATAAGGCAAAAGTTTACTAACACCGATTCCTCCTTACCCTGTGACTAATTCAGCAAATGAATTTCAAAATGTTTCAACACACCGGCTTCTTATCGAACTGGAACTCGACATCGTTGCTGCTACGAGCAGGCCAGTTGAAGGACAATATCAGGCCAAAGACATTTGTACCGATATTCACAGTTTCAGTCCCGAGAAATAATTTAGCGAATATATTTTACAGTGTTTTGCAGACTTCGGATCAATACCCCCTCTATCAACTCATATCGACGCCGCTACCAAAACTGGACCCGTATGTTACGAAGACTTGGCTGCGACACTCGGTCGTAAGCAAATCCACCTGTGACACCAATAGGCTAGGAAACAAACCCCAAATTTAACGCCTTTGTCACGAACATGAGTTCATACAACTTAGCCTAAATCTGTATCATTCACTCACTCATGGATCCGAGCCCTTCTTGAGAATTTTATTGTATCCCCACCCCTGCGACACAGTTATTATGGAGCAAAAGGGGGGGGGAGGCCGGCAACCCAATGCTTATAATAATCCCAACACTGTCACCAGTTTTATTGTCCCGCCCAGTTGCGACACACAGATTTTTATTATATCTCGCCGCTGCCAACCAGCTCTGTTGTGGCACCCGACTTCCACCCTCAAAATTTAAAATATCCCACATAACGTCCGCCAGTTTTGTTGTGGCGAAAACGCCATCCACCATGGGAACCCCCAAAATTCTTATTTTATCCCACGCGTAACCCCAAAACGCTATCACCAGTTTTGGAACTCCCAAAGTTTTCCACCAAGAACTTCCCAGCATTTGATGGAACCCGAAGATTCATTACTGTGTTCACTGGTTCCTATTCTGAGCCAGATCAATCCAATCCATACCATCCCATCCTCTCTCTCTACGATGCATTTTAATATTGTTCACCCACCTACGTCTTAGTCTTCTTAGTGGTCTCTTTCCTTCTGGCTTTCCCACCAATATCCTATATGCATTCCTCTTCCCACCCGTTCGTGCTACATGCCCGCCCCCATCTCATCCTCCTTGACTTTATCATTCTAATTATACTTGGAGAAGAGTACAAGTTATGGAGCTCCTCATTATGCCTAACTACCTGTATTTTTTTCCGTGGCACTACAGCCCCAGTGGGCCTAGGCTTACCTCCATGAACTTCTCCGTTCACTTTGGTTTTTCTAGATGTTACACATTCGGTAGGGCTCCTGACTACCTGTATACTAACTGAGTCGCTACGCGAAAGTACTTACTCTACAAAATTTAATGCGGAGGGCCAAAAATCAAAGCCAAATAGCATGAAGGGATACATAAAACGTTTCATATTCGCAAGCTGTAAGTTTCCATTGCATTCTCATGCGGATTGTAGCACTAATTCGATAGAAGCCATGATGCAATGTACATGGCGTTTATTGTTCTTTCAATGGGCGCACGCTAGAGTAATGAGATCTTATACGGCTGGAGGCATAGTTATACCCTCCTTAATTAGGCTGTTTCGAGTTATTTCACAGTGACTTGTAGCTGCAGCCGAGGAGACATTTCTCATGCTTAAAAATCTGATTTTAGGAAGAGCTCAGTGTTCTGGGGTATAAGGCCGTGTTAGTCCTTTGAAAGTCAACCGATATTTCCGAGGAATATTTGGCCTCCGAAACGTCGGTTAACTATTTGGGAACGACTATAACAAATGTAAACTTGATTCAGGAGGAAATTAAGAGGAGATTGAACTCGGGTAATGCTTGCTACCATTCAGTCGAGAACCTTTTGTCTTCTCATCAGCTGTCCAGAAACATAAAAATTAGATTGTACAAAACTATAATTTTGCCTGTGGTTCTGTATGGATGTGAAACTTGGTCTCTGACATTAAGGGATGAACATAGACTGAGGGTGTTTGAGAACAGGGTGTTGAGGATAATATTTGGACCAAAGAGGGATGATGTGACAGGAGGTTGGAGAAAACTGCATAATGAGGAGTTTCATAACTTCTACTCTTCTCCATGTATAATTAGAATGATGAAGTCAAGGAGGATGAGGTGGACAGGGCATGCTGCACGAAGGAGGAGAAGAGGATTGTATTTAGATTATTGGTGGGAAAGCCAGAAGTAAAGAGACCTCTGGGAAGACCAAGGCGTAGGTGGGTGGACAATATTAAAATGGATCGTATAGTTATAGAATGGGATGGTATGGATTGGATTGATCTGGCTTAGGATAGGGACTAGTGGAGGGCTCATGTGAACACGGTAATGGGCCTTAGGGTTCAATAAAATGCTGGGAAATTCTTGAGTAGTTGCAGATTTGGCTTCTCCTCAAGAAGGGATCAGCTCCATAAGCGAGTGAGTGAGTGAAGATCGAAAAAAAAGAACAGAGGTTATATAATCACCGTTTCGAACGTTACAGGCGTGATGAGGACGAGACATGCAGTAGAGTGCAGTGCTGCTTTTGAACTGTAAGCTCCGATAGGCATACAGTAAAGCAATTGCTGCGTAGCGGCAGACTTAAAACTAGTCACAAGTCATACATTCGATGAGCACTACATATTTGAACCCTTGAAGTCAAAACCGTTAACCGTGATTCTTACAGAAAGAGATCCCTGTTATAATATGTGAAATAGAAGGTGACTGTACAGAGAATTTTTGTGGTAACTAAAGTGGACGGTAGACAAAGCTGTATGTGTTGATATAGCTGACTTTGGGTGGGGGGGGGGCAGTTCTGATCTGTAGTTAAGTTTTCCATTCATAAACTTTCCATTGATTTATTCTCACACATTATAGCCCCTTAGGTATACTTCTGGGAGCACGCGGTGGCGTATTTGTTTGAGGCACTATGCTACAAGTCGGAAGGTCGCGGTTTCCATTCCCGGTGAGGTCTTTGGATTTGTTTTCAATTTACCTAATCCTTCCAGCCGCACTATGGCACTG